CCTCACCCGCCCCCGATAGAGAAGTCAAGTGACAAGCCCTAGGACGGCGCACTCGCAACCTACTTTCCACCCGAGCGGAAGCAGCGGGGCCGGCCAGGCCGGGGATGGACCCGGGAACCCGGGCCCCGACCGACCGGGCCCGCGGGCGGGGGGAACGGCGGGGGGTCCCCACCGCGAGGGCAGCCACCATGCAGTTCCACAAGGAGGAGTTTCGGAAGCTAGCGGGTCGCGCCCTCGGGCGGCTGCACCGGTGAGCTGGGTGCGGGTCCTGGGCGGGGAAGAGGGCACGGTCAGCAGAGGACGCTCATGCCCACGCGGGCGCAGACCCAGAGATGGACGGGCGATACGCGGATGGGGGGGGAGAGGGTGTCCACCCATCTGTCCAGTTTTCTCCCTCCGCCTCCGACGGCGCCGCTGTCCCTGGTTCTGTCTTGCTCATCACCTGGTTTATTCTTTTGGCCCCACCCCACTCCATTCTCGACCCTTTTCTCTGGGTCTGTACGTTCCCCTCTGTCTGGGTCTCTGAACCCCTGTCCCACGTCTGGGGCTCTGTTCACCCCTCTGCTCTCCACGTACCTTCCCTGGACCTCTGGGCCCCTCTTTCTGGGTCTCTAGTCCCCTTTATCTCCGAGTCTCTGTCCTCTCTGTGACTCTGGCTCTCACTAGATCTCTATCAACTCCCCTCTTGGGGTCTCTGCCCCCCTCTCGGGGTCTTTGCCCCCCTCTCTGGGTCTCGGTCTCTCTTCTTGGGGTCTCTGTCCTCTCCCTGGGTGTTCATCCCGCTACCCTGGGTCTCTCCATCACTCTGTCCATCTCCGTCTCCGTCACTCAGAGCGTTTAATCTGAAGTTAAAGCGGATTGGGGCCCAGGGGTTCTCGTCCTTGGGGGCGAGTTAAGCTGGGAGGGAGAAGCCGGGGTGTCCGGGGCCTCTGGGGGGAAGGTAGCTGCAGGCCCCACATGAGACGTCCCCAAGGATGTAGGCTAGAGCTCAGGGGGACTCCTACCGGCCAGGGCGACGACCCCAGTGACCTGGGTGTCCCCAGGGCAGGCCGAGCACCTCCCTCCAGGCCTTCACCCCCAACCCCAGCCTTGGCTCCAAGTCAGAGAAATTACTCATCTGCGGTGAGACCTAAAAATACCCGGCCCGGGCGGGAGGAGCGAGCCCCAGCATCTCCGCTGCCCTTCCCTGGGGCCCGGCCGTGCCCACAGCCCTGACCCCGGGGTTAGTGGCCCTGCGTCCATCTCACGAGGCCACGCAAGTCCTTCTCTAAGTCTAACGCTAGTCCTGCTTGCTGTAGATCACCTCCGGGCTCCAAGGCCCCTCACCCTCTAGTAACAGGGGAGATGGGAAGGAGGGTGGACAGCAGGGAGGGGGCCGGAGGATGGCACGCGGCGGGGAGGCGGTGGGGAGCTGAGATAACCCCACCCCTGCTTCTCCCAATCTCCCAGCCCCTCCCCACCCTTTTTCTCGCCTCCTTTCACGAGTTTCTCAAAATACATCCGTGAGAAGTCAGGAGACAGAGGGAGAGACGTGCTGATGGAGGCGGGGCTGGGGGTGCTGCAGGGGAGAGATGTGTCCCCCAGGCCCCCTCCCTCCGTCTCAGCCCCTCAGCCCCTCAGCCTCGCATCTGCATCTGCCTTTCTCTCGCCGGGGCCCTGCCTTACTCTCACCCCCGCCCTGAGCTGCCTCCCAGGCCCCCGGGCACCCCCAAGCCCAGCGCTCCCGCCAGCACAGTCACGGAGGAATCCTGGGGTTCACTGCGATGGTTGGAGTCAAGGGAGATGCTCTGTGTTGGACACAACCCCCATTCGGTCCTCTATTCCAGTGGTTCTCAACCTTCCTAATGCCGCGACCCTTTAATACAGTTCCTCATGTTGTGGTGACCCCCAATTTCATTGTTACAAATTGAACATAATGAAAGCATGGTGATTAATCACAAAAACAGTATGTAATTATATATGTGTTTTCCGATGGTCTTCGGCGACCCCTGTGAAAGGGTCGTTCGACCCCCAAAGGGGTCGCGACCCACAGGTTGAGAACCGCTGCTCTAGACGAAGCCGGGGAAACTGAGGCTCAGCTGGAGAAGAGGGAGGCATTGGTGGCTGAGCCATCCATCATTCAACCCAGGCCAGCCCCTCCCCACCTGCGCTGGAGGCTGCGGGTTTTCCTAGAGATGCATGAAGCTCCAGCTCCAGTGGGTGGGGACGCTCCCCCAGACCAGGAAACAGACGTAAACTAGGCGACTAGGGACAAGAAGGGGGGGCGGGAGGGATGGAGGAGAGACCAGGAGCCACAGGGCCTTCTCTGTGTGCCGGGCCCTGGGCTGGTGATGCCGGGCCAGGACGCGAGCAGGCCCCCTCGCTCCTCTCGCGGGTGACCTTGGACGCGCTGCTTTCACTCTCTGTGCCTCAGTTTCCTTAGTTGTACGCTGGGAAGAGGAGAGAGAAGCTAAGGGACAGAGGGGACAGAGGTCTGGGCGAGCGGACGGGGAGCCCAGAGGAGCAGACACAGGCCCCGAGGCGGGACCGCCTTGATGTTGGTTTTAGCTGCGGCCGCAATCACTTCTTGAGTTTCAGGGTCAAATAGCATCTGATACCCACCTGAGTCAAAGTCTAATCTCATTGGCTGACAGGTTCTGACGGGAGTGGGCAGCCCCTACCACCCTGTATGAGTGTATGAGTCATTCCGGGGGCTCCCTCCCCCCTCTCTCCAGCTCTCTCAGGGTCTCATTCCTCACCCCCTGGGGTTGGTCCACTCCCCCCCCTCCCCCCTCCCCCATCCGTTTCTTACCGTTCCTCCTCCCTTCTCCTTAAGTTCTAGGATCGGGAGGGTGGCTGTGTTCTCGCATCTCTTCCACCACCTCCCCCCAGGCCGTCTGGCTGTTCTCTCCTCCCCCGTCCCAGTCTCCCTCGCCTCCATCTGTTCTGGCCCCTTCCTGGGATCCAGCCGGATCCTCTGGCTGCTTCCCCGCCTCGGAGAGGAGCCGCACCTCACCAATCACAGCCCCAGCCCGTCTTCTCAGCATCCTAGTCTCTTCATCGTTCAACGCTCGGGTTTTCTGTATCTACATCCCCTGCCTCTGGTCTCTGTCCCCTCCCTTCTGGGTCACTGTTCTGTCCCCCCCTTCTCCTGGGGTGGGTCCCCCTATCTTATTCTCTGCTTGTCTCTCTGGGTCTCCGACCCCATCTCTCTGGGTCTCTCGCTTCCTTCTGTGTCTCTGATCCCCTTCCTTAGCCTCCCTGTGGGTCTGTCCACACCTCTGGACACCTCTTTCCGCAGCCTCTCTGTGGCTTGGAGGTGGCTCTCCAACTATCCTACCCGTCTCCGTCATCACAGCCTCAATCCCTGATCCAGAACGGGCGGGGGCGACAGGCTCGCTGGGGACCCAGCCAAGTCCCCCACCAGGGCCATCTGTCCCTTGCCAGGACACCACCCACCACCCCCCCTCCCCATCCCCTAGGCTGACAGCCTGAACTCCAGGCTCCCCAGGGATGCCCGGCTGCACTGCTGGAGTCCAGGGTCCCGGAAGTCTCCCCACCCCCGAGGCCCTAGGAATGGGCTGCTGGTGGCTGAACGGAGTCAGCTGGCTGTTAGCCCCACACCTGGGGCCCGGGGGCAGGAGGGCAGCCATAGAGGCAGGGGGAGGGGCGTCGGCATACAAGCAGACGTGGCTGAGAAGCATCTGTTCTGCTGACACCTTTGCTGAAGCATCTCCTTAGCGCCTTTTGCTTCCCCAAATAGACTCGTATCTGGGGGAGGGGGCTAGAGAGAGCCTGGGCCTTGGGGTGGGGGGTGGGGCACAGGCTGTTGGGCCGCAAAGGGTAGTGAGGGTGTAAAACTGCTGAGTTGAGAGATGGCAGGTGGGAGAGAAGGGACCCGAGGACTTGGACACCTGAGTCTGGGGGAGGAGGGGCGGGGGCGTGGAATTCCTGGTCTGAGGGGGTGTGGGGGGGTAGGGGCTCCTGGATCCTGGGTCCTGGGGAGAGAAGCTGGGCTCCTGGGAAGGAAGACGGGGAACACGGGCTCAGTGAGAATCCCGGGTCTTTTTCAAGCAGGAGGTTTGGCCCTGAACTCCCGTGGCGCAGGGAGGAGGGGGCGGGGGCCCTGGGCCGAGTCTGAGTCTTGCCGCCCCGCAGGCTCCTGGAGAAGCGGCAGGAAGGCGCGGAGACGCTGGAGCTGAGTGCCGACGGCCGCCCGGTCGCGACGCAGACGCGGGACCCGCCGGTGGTGGACTGCACCTGCTTCGGCCTCCCGCGCCGCTACATCATCGCCATCATGAGCGGCCTGGGCTTCTGCATCAGCTTTGGCATCCGCTGCAACCTGGGCGTGGCCATCGTCTCCATGGTCAACAACAGCACGACCCATCGCAACGGCCACCTGGTGGTGCAGGTAGCGCAGGGCGGGAGCCGCGGTGCCGCCTACGCCCTGATGACGTCATGTCCATCCGGCGCAGCCCAGGCCACGCCCCCTCCACGCCACACCCCGAGTAGCCCCGCCCATCTGTGCTGCGCCCTCTCCTCTGACTTGTCTCCGGGATCTTCTTTCCTAAGCCCCGCCCTGATCTACATGAAGCTCCGCCCCTATTGAGATCCGGTCCCTAAAACCAAAATGTGGACTGGGCCCCAGCTTTCGGTTCCCTATGTGTTGCCCGTGTTCATTTTGGGCCTCCTAGCAACTTTTGCTCCACCCGCGTCCCACACCTGTCCCAGGGTCACATCTTCATCCCAGTCCCATCACAAGCTCCCCACTGAATTTTAAAAAATATATTTTTTATTGATTTCAGAGAGGGAGAGAGATAGAAACATCAATGATGAGAATCATCAATCGGCTGCCTCCTGCACGCCCCCTACTGGGGATCGAGCGCGCAACCCAGGCATGTGCTCTGACCAGGAATCAAACCGTGACCTCCTGGTTCATGGGTTAACGCTCAATCACTGAGCCATAGCAGTTGGGCATCCCCACTGAGTTTTAATCCTGACTTTTCTGAAGCGCTACCCCTGCTAAATCCCGCTTCGTCTGCTCTGGCCATTACCTAAATCCCACCTCACATCAGACTTTGTTCCTCTTTTTAAAAAATATGTTTTTAGCCCTAGCTGGTTTGGCTCAGTGGATAGAGCGTCAGCCTGCAGACTGAAGGGTCCTGGGTTCAATTCTGGTCAGGGGCACATGCCCAGGTTGCGGGCTTGATCCCCAGTAGGGAGCTTGCAGGAGGCAGCCGATTGATGATTCTCTGTCATCATTGATGTTTCTCTCTCTCTCTCTTTCTCCTTTCCTCTCTAAAATAAATAAAAATATATTTTAAAAAAATAAAATATGATTTTATTGATTTTTAGATAGAGAGGAAGGAAGAGGGAGAGATAGAGAGATAGAAACATTGCAATCTGAGCATGTGCCCTGACTGGGAATCGAACCTGGGACCTCTTGGGTCCACGGGACAACGTTCAATCCACTGAGCCACACCCGCTGGGCTTTCTCCCTATTTTAATTTCCGGGTAGGCCATGCCTCTGTCTCAGAAAACAAAGTTCTGATTATGGCTGTGGTCTACTCCGCCTCTAGCTCCCTTCCAATCAGGCTGACCCCATTGGCTACTTCTTGTCCTTGACTAGAACTCGTCCAGGTTACTGGGCAAACAGTTCCTAAGTTGGTTAGAAGTAGAGAAAGAATCGCCACCCCGGGTATGGGTCCCTAGACATTCAGAGCAGGGGCACTGAGGCAGGGCCACAGGCAGACCGAGGCGTCTAGGCAGCAACAGGCCCCGTTGCTAAGGTAGCACAGGCCCTAACAACGTGGAGAAGCCTAGTTCGGTCTGGACCGAGGGAGGGATGGCTTGAGCTCTGATGGGCGGGGCGAGAGAGGGGATCCTTGCTGCGGATTGGCTAAGGGACTAAGTCTGTGGGTGCTGATTGGTGGTGGTGGTGGGGGGTGCAAACTCCGGCGACTGGTTTGATGTGCTTTTCGGCCCACAGAAAGCTCAGTTCAACTGGGATCCAGAGACTGTTGGCCTCATACACGGCTCCTTTTTCTGGGGCTACATTGTCACCCAGATTCCCGGGGGATTTATCTGCCAAAAATTCGCAGCCAACAGGTACGGGTCGGGGTGGGGTTTCTCAAGTTGGGCGGGAACTACAGTTGCGGGGGTGGAGTTAGAGAGTGTGACCTGGCATTTGGGGGCTGACTTTGGACCATGGGAGGAGCCTGGGGGCGGGGTCTTAGAGGAAGGCGGGGCTTGTGGTTGTGAACGGTGGGGGTCGGAGAGAAGGTGGGGCCTGGGCTTGTGGGGAACCGGGTTCTGCTGTGGGCAGAGAGAGCAGAATCCTATGCATGGTGGGATAGCCACGGACTCTTCCCATCAGGGTTTTCGGCTTTGCTATTGTGGCTACATCCACTCTGAACATGCTGATCCCCTCGGCTGCCCGCGTCCACTATGGCTGTGTCATCTTCGTGAGGATCCTGCAGGGGTTGGTGGAGGTAAAGTCCCGCTATACGTGACCCGCCGCCTTCTGACCCCACCTCTTCGCCTTTAAATATATATAATTTCAGAGAGGAAGGGAGAGGAAGAGAGAAATAGAAACATCAATGATGAGAGAATCATTGATCGGCGGTCTCTTGCACGCCCCCTACTGGGAATCGAACACGCACCCCGGGCATGTGCCCTTGACCGGAATCGAACCCGGGACCCTTCAGTCCGCAGGCTAAACCAAACCAGCTAGGGCCAACCTCTTCTCCTTGACTTTGGCTTTCTTCTCCCCAGGGGGTCACTTACCCCGCCTGCCACGGGATCTGGAGCAAATGGGCCCCTCCCTTAGAGCGGAGCCGCCTGGCCACCACAGCCTTTTGCGGTGAGAGGAAGGTGCTGGGATTTAGATTTGTGGGTCTGAAAGAGGAGGGGGTTTGGGGAAGGAGGGGGTTGGGCACTGGCCGGATATCTGTGGAAGGAGGGGCTGTGGCTTGCACTTTTGTGTTCCGGAAAGACGAGGCTGGGGGTCCGAACCCCTGGATCCGGGGGGGTAGCTAGGTCTGCTCTCTCTCCCGCACCCCCCCCCCCCATCAGGTTCCTACGCCGGGGCGGTGGTGGCCATGCCTCTCGCCGGGGTCCTGGTGCAGTACTCAGGCTGGAGCTCTGTGTTCTACGTCTACGGTGAGGGGCCCGGGCGCCGGGGTTCGGGGGGTGCTGGGCCAGAGCGAGGCCGGTCGTCACCTCGCTTCCATCCCCCTCCTGACCCCCTCCAGGCAGCTTCGGGATCTTCTGGTACCTGTTCTGGCTGCTCGTCTCTTATGAGTCCCCGGCGCTGCACCCCAGCATTTCAGAAGAGGAGCGCAAGTACATCGAAGAAGCCATCGGCGAGAGCGCCAAACTCATGAACCCCCTCACGGTCCGAGCCAAGCCTGTGGGGTGGGGGCGCGGTGGGGCGGGGAGAGAGATCCAAGCAAGGAGGCAGGAGAAAGGGGGCTTAGAACCCGCACAGCGTGTAGATCGTGGTGCTTTCCCCGACTCGGGAGACCTGATGGGAACGCCCAGTGGGCGGGGCCAGAACCTGGGAGGCGGGGTTAACGCCGGGGGCGGGCCCGATTAGCAGGTGCTGGGCGGGGCCACTGGTGGGCGTGGTCAAACCAGCAGAGGCGGGACTAGAATGTGGGCTTTTGCTTAGACCTGGTGGTGGGTGAGGCTAGATGTAGGAGTCGATATTGAATGGGAAGATTCCTGGGCCCCACCCTTACGGGTCCCTGAAGGTCATCGAGGCCGGACACATGCGAACCGGAGGGGCCACTGTAAATCAGGAGCCTGCATTCCTGAAGTGTCACTCGCGGTGGTTCTCAACCTTCTGGCCCTTTCAATACAGTTCCTCATGCTGTGACCCAACCATAAAATTATTTTCGTTGCTACTTCATAACCGTAATGTTGCTACTGTTATGAATCGTAAAGTAAATATCTGATAGGCAGGATGGTCTTAGGCGACCCCTGTGAAAGGGTCGTTCGACCGCCAAAGGCTCGCGACCCACAGGTTGAGAACCGCTGCCTAGAGGCTAGGATGCAAGGACATGGGCTGGCGCCCCTGGGGGTTTTAATGAAGTGGGGAAACCGGGGTCTCTGCGGGACTGTAGTGAGGCTCCTGAAGGGACACGGAGAGCCCCCGGGTCCTGTCTCAGCGGCCCCTGCTCTCGCCCCCACAGAAGTTTAAAGCACCCTGGCGGCGCTTCTTCACCTCCATGCCCGTCTACGCCATCATCGTGGCCAACTTCTGCCGCAGCTGGACGTTCTACCTGCTCCTCATCTCCCAGCCCGCCTATTTCGAAGAAGTGTTCGGCTTCGAGATCAGCAAGGTTGGACACGGGGAGGGGGCGGGGAGAGCAGGGGGCGCGGCGGGGCTGAGACAGAAGGAGCGGAGCGTTGGTCCCAAGGGGGTGGAATGAGGGACAGGGAGGAGCCGGTGCGCCGGAACCGGGTGGAGACGCCCGGCGGGCGGGCGGCCCTGAGCGCCGGCCCTGTCCTCCCCCCGCGCAGGTGGGCCTGGTGTCGGCGTTGCCCCACCTGGTCATGACCATCATCGTGCCCATCGGTGGCCAGATCGCCGACTTCCTGAGGACCCGCCGTATCATGTCCACCACCAACGTGCGCAAACTGATGAACTGCGGGGGTGAGTGGGGTCGGGGACCGCCTGGGCCGGGGCAGAGCGCCGAGGGGCACATCCGGAGGCGGGTCCGCGAAGGGGTAGGTGGGGTCCGAGGGCCGAACAGGGGTGTGTCCAAAAAGGCGGAGTCAAGATGAGGCTGGGACAGAAGTCCCGGGCCTCGAGGGGCAGCGTGGACGACTGTGCAGGTGGAGCAGAGGCCAGACCTAGTTGGGCTGGAAGCGCGGGGAAGAGGGGCTGTGAGTGGGGGACCTGGAGAGACGCGGTCCAGGCGGCTACTGCCCTGGGGGTGTGGACAGAGAGGGAAGGGGTGAAGGTGCAGGGGGGGGCTGGGACCCTGCATCTTGGGGCGTGG